GAGGGTTAATATGTTGTGGGGTTGTTAACCAACGTCATAAAACAACACGTGTACTACTGTTTCATGAGAAACTATTTGTTCTGTAAGCCTTCACCTAAAGCACAATAAAAAAATGTATATATATATATACATATATTAAAAAAAAGAAAGTAGTGCCAGGAGCACAGCACATCCTTTGGACCTGGGGTCCTTGCACTGAGAAGCTCCTAGACCAGAGAAAGATTGATGACAAGGGCCTTCCTGCAGAGCCAACAGAGAGAGAAAACTTTCCCCTGAATTTGGATGTCTAGCCTACTAGACTGTGAGAGAATAAATTTCTGTTTGTTAAAGCCATCCACTTGTGGTACTTCTGTTATAGCAGCACTAGACTAGCACTAAGACATTTCCTTACCAAAGTTCTCTCAAAGCAACCCATTAGGCCTATAATTCCTTATTTTGGCTAAACCTCTTACTGCTATGGAAAAAAAGAAAAACATAAAAAAGATGAAAATGACCCATACTGCCACAAACTGATGATAACCTCTGTTCACATTTTGGTATATTTACTTACCGTTTTCATTCCATGCTTATATACATCATAAAAGCAGAATTGGGATTAGCCTCAGTATAACTCAGCTCTGGGGGAAGATGCTTGTCTCTTTGTCCCATTGTTTGTGAGATGCCTTTGTGATGTGGGGGTGCTATTATAAAGTTCCTGCTATTCCCAGAATAAATCAATATAAACTTTTTTCTTTTAGACATGGAAACCATGTCTAAAATGTGATGTGCACCATATGGGACCAAATCTGATGGCAAAATGCCAGTTTTTTTTTTTTTTTTTCCTGATCTGGGAGTATGAATTATTTTATTCTCATTTGATTCTAGGAATTTTTTGATTCTGTCTCTGATTTCTTCTATTACCCACTGATGTGTAAGCAGGGTATTATTCAGTTTCCATGTAGTTGATTTTTTTTTCCTTGCTCTTTCTATTGTTAATTTCTACCTTTATGGCACAAAATGCAAGGGTTTTTTGATCCTCTTTTTTACCACACTCTTCACATTTCCCAGTGTCATCCATTTTGTGAAATCCAGTGTTTATTTTCATCTTCATTTTACTTGACCTTCATCAGCCTTCTACTGAGGAAACAACTTGCTCTTTTCCTTTTTTAAATTAGTTTTCGCTCTATGAAAGTAATACACAGAGTTTTTTAAAAAAATTAGATAGTACAAAGAGCTTTTAATGAGAGGCATCAATCCCACCTGACCTTATCTTTTATTCTCTAGAAACAGTCACTTCAAATGCTTAGCTGTTTTATCTGGTATCTACGTACATGTGTCTCAAGTCAATAACGTGTATGCTGCTATTTCTTGCTATATCCATTTTTAGATGTTTATATAATGCCCTGTTATGATCAGTGATAACTTAGCTGTCTTACATACCAATAGAAATATACCACAACTTTTGTTCAATGTTTCCAATACTTTGGCTAATAACTATTGTTATTGTTATTTACTGAGCCAAGTAGTATATATAATTACATTTATTTTCTTGTACAACTTTTTGTTTTTTGGGGAGGGCATTAAATGGTTCATCTCTTCTCCTTTGTTTAGTTTTCTTTGTTCCCATTGCATTTTTTCTCTCTCCTAACAGCTCTAAGTTCAATTTCCACAGTCAAATCTATTAGATAACTTATCAGTGCTACAACGTCTCCTCCACACCCCCACCTCTATTTTTCCCAGAGCAGCATTTTTCAAACTTAAGTGAGCATATATGTAACTAGAGAGGCTTGTTAAAAAATAGATTCCGTTAAGTAGGCCTTGTGTGGGGCCAGGATTCTCCCTGCTGGATACTCTGGCCCAGAGTAAGGTCTAGAGTGGTTTTGTCTGCTCCTTACTCAGAAGAAGGAATTACAAGTCAAGAAACAGCTGCTGGCTTTGCATGAACTGTAGAAATGAACTCTGATGAACTCTGATGGATGGTTCTGGCTCAGGGACTTGGACTTGTTTCTTTTGCATGTGGCCAAACCAAACCAAGACGAAGGACTAGGATAAATAGGTGTCATGTACAATACTGTATTCTTCTGTGGCTTGCTGGTGAGCTTTGTGGTCAGCTGCTCTTTCTTAAGCCTTGCACTATTGACACGCTGTTAATAATCGGGTATGACCTAATGATATTTCGACATTATAATACTGCCATAATTCTCCTATTTACCAAACCTATATTAAAGTTAAGGAGCCCTGGTGGCAAAGGTCAATGCCCACCAGCTGCTCCATGGGAGAAAGATGTGGCAGTCGGCTTCTGTAAAGATTACAACCTTGGAAACTCTGTGGGGCAGTTCTACTGTGTCCTACGGGGTCACTATAAGTCAGAATTGACTCGATGGCAACAGATTTGGTTTTTTGGTTTATGTTAATTTATACATATTGTAGTACAACAGAGTTTGTGTATGTGAAGGGTAGGTGGAATGGGAATGAAGAGTAGATGGCGGGGGGCTAGTGGGAGTGGAGGGAAGTTAAATGTGCCCTGGGGAGCAAGAGGCTGAGGTCTGATTGAGTGGTGACATTGCTGAGTCATATTCCTGGAAATGCTTTTGAAATGGAGAGTTCCTAGAACAAAGAAGAGTGCCAGATAAGGAATTTATGGGCTCCAATAAAGTGTGGTTGGATTGAGCAAGGGAGAAATAGGAGGATTCAGGGAAGGATTTAGGGTTGAGTGGCCCATTCTTTGAGTTCTGCCCAGAATCTACCCCATTGCAGCCTTGAGCTACCTCCCATCCCTGTTCATCCTAGCTCTACTCTTTTCCTGTTACTGGTGGAGCAGCTTCCTCCAAAGCAGGGCTACATTCTCTCTCTGGAAGACAGGTTATGGAAAACATGAAAATACAGGACTTATTTTAGGAGCAGGCCATAACTTCATTATTGACTTGAATTCACCCTGCTTATCAGACCTTGTCTTAGTTTGGGTTCCCCCCAAAGCAAACTCTGAGACAAAGATTTGGATATAAGTTACTT